ATAAAATTTTTATTTTTTATTTCTTTTTAAGCAAAAAAGATAATTACTTTAAATAAATATAAATGAATCTCAATTATTAAAAATAGATAAATGAATAGTTAAAAATTTATATAAATATAATATGTAAAACTTATATATAAATTATTTTTTACTAATATATATATGTATACACATATTTTCCACAATAACATCATCCTTGCTGGTTGTATTGTTCCCTCCTAGGATGGATTAGAGATTACTGCAATTCCTAGAACTACTTATCATAAATTTCTCATTTCATGTGTGACCTGTGTCATAATGTTTGGTTGTTGTGAATAAAAAATATGTATTCGGTCTATTGCGGCAGGTCAATTGACTTTAAGCTTTATCATTATCATTTTTGTCTTATATTATTACAGGTTTCTTCATCTTGTCTTTTTCCTTTCTAAGGATTTGTTCTATTAGGCGTCTTAACATCTCCGTCGTTTCCGGCTTCCTAAATCAAGAACAGAAATATTCAAATTATATTTATGAATTTAAATAAATTTAAGTAAATCATTAAAAACAACACAATCAGAGGGATTATAACAAACAAACCTGAAATCAGTCCTGTTAGCAGCCTCTTCCATCGAACCTAAGTTACCGGCACGGGAAACATTCGAGAAGAAATCGGAAGGCTTGACATTAGACGCCGATGCAGTGGCTTTCGGTCTTGAATTCTCAGTAGAATTTTCCACATTAGGCAACAGATTCATCGTCGTCACCGGCAGTGGCGGAGGGAGGGGGGTGCGAGGGGAGCTAGCCCCTGAAATTTGAAAATCTTTATAAATTAGTATATGAAAAATTGTCGCATCCTTACTAAAATTTAAAAATTTTATAAATTAATATATAAAAAATTATCTCCCCCTTAAAAAAAAAATTCTGGGTCCGCCCCTGGTCACCGGCGAACCTGAGAAATTGGCAAACAGAAAAAGGAAATAAGAAGCATCAGTATACCACAACAATAATTACGAAAGTAAAGGACAGAAAAGGAAACGAAAGAAAATGTACCTTTAGCTTCTAATTTGGCAGCCATATTTCCGCCTGCAAGATCTCCCATATTCCTCTTCTCGTTCAAGTACTGACTCAACATATTGACGAAACTGGACCTCTCAGCTGCCCTGCTGGATTTCTGGCAGGAACTCGACATCTCTTCGCCGGCAAAAAGGGGAATAATGAAGCAACCGTGTAAAGACAGATCCTTAAATGTTAGGCTTTGGAAAAGTTTGGAGCATGCATTTACTATAATTAGGGAGAGTTAATCTCTGGGAGGGAGGTACAGGGGGAGAATATATGAAGACACAGTTCTCTGAACTTGATTGGTTAAAAAAAAAAGGTTTCATGGAATCTTTTGAAAAAGAAAATGGGGATCCATTACCCAGGGGGCGGAGGCAGAAATTTTTTTCGGGTGGACAAAATACTAAAATTTTTAAAGTTTAGGAAAGGTTAAATACTTTTTATATATTAATTTACGAGATTTTCAAATTTTATGGAGGCGAGCGCCCCTCCTCGCACCCCCTGATTTCGCCACTGTCATTACCTATTTTCCAAAAAAAAAAGAAGAAAATGGGGATTGAATAGGAAATTAATTACTAGGAGTACTTAATTATTTATTTTGGGCACGTGTATTTTCTGCAAATATTTTTTTATAGACATGAATTTTCCGCAAATTGAACGTGCAGTGGACTGCTGGCGGTGGTGGTGGTGGCAAGTAGAGGACAAGAGTTCACGATTTCACGCAAAAAGGGTGGCTGCAAATGCAATTTGCATTCCGTCTTCTCCTGTATTTACTCATCTGCCCCTGCTTCGCACCTGCCGTCTGTCTTGACTCTTTATGGCATAGACCCGTAGATTGGGAGGGCAAGAGCTATATTTAAGAAAAAATAAGTATCAATTTGTATTATAAAAATTTAAATAAAAATATTTTAAAATTATAAAATTTTAATAAATTTTTATTAAAATTTTAAAATATTTTAATTTTTTAATAAAAATAAAATTACTTCAATTAAAAAACTTTT